ATATCTGAGCGCCAGGGAACTTTCTTTACCTCCTAGTATCATTTCATGAGAATTAGTAGCACCTGCACAATGGGGCCTTGGAGACAGGAATAAAAGGAAAAATCTGGCATGGAATCACATGACTCAACAGGCTGTGAAGACTCCGTGCCCTGCTGCTGTATGTCTGGTAAACAGAATAAATAGCACTTGAGCATCCCTGACCTGTGGAGTAGCTGGTTGTTTCTAGATGGGACCAGGGTATCCCGCACTTACTGCCAATTCATCTTGCTTCAGTAAGTGCAGGGGGCGCTGTGCAGAGTGAGTGGCCTGTGTATGAACCAGAGTCCGTCCCATCTAAAGACAGTCCGGTCAGGCCGAGTCCTCACCGAGACTTCAGTGTGGATTAATCAGTAACCTTGGTTCACCGGCAGGCTCGCTGGACTTTGGAGAAAAGGCTGACCCTCCACCAAAGCAGCCCACTGCTGCCGTCGCCCTAGGAACAGAGGGCCTGGAGTCAGGGCTTGACCTGGCACAGGAGCTTTTGCACAAGGCTGGCTCAAACCTCCAAACCTGGGAAAACAGGATGCGTGGGGAAGTGACGAAGAAAGAAAATGCATCCACCATTCCTTCCCGTTGCTGTCAGCACGATGAGGAATAATTACCTGGATCTGGAACGCAGGCGTGTGGGAGGCTGCAGGCCCCCCTGGTCTGTGTAGTTAGGCACTTAATTTTTCATCCTCCTCCTTTTCTTTTCTTTTTTTTTTTTTTTGAGACGGAGTCTCGCTGTGTCGCCCAGGGTGGAGTGCAGTGGCCGGATCTCAGCTCACTGCAAGCTCCGCCTCCCGGGTTTTTACGCCATTCTCCTGCCTCAGCCTCCCGAGTAGCCGGGACTACAGGCGCCCACCACCTCGCCCGGCTGTTTTTTGTATTTTTTAGTAGAGACGGGGTTTCACCGTGTTAGCCAGGATGGTCTCGAACTCCTGACCTCGTGATCCGCCCGTCTCGGCCTCCCAAAGTGCTGGGATTACAGGCTTGAGCCACCGCGCCCGGCCCATCCTCCTCCTTTTCTCTGCCCTCCCGAAACCCCCATTTTCAAAGGAAAAACAGAAAAACGTATCTGGTTAACCTGTGTAATACTGTTTACATCAGTCCACTTGGTCCAGAAAGGATACCAGCTCCTTATTGATGCTCAGATAACAGGGTTAGTGCTTAAAAAAATTATGCCTTGGGCCGGGCGCGGTGATCACGCCTATAATCCCAGTACTTTGGGAGACCGAGGTGGGCAGATCACGAGGTCAAGAGATCAAGACCATCCTGGCCAACCAACATAGTGAAACCCCGTCTCTACTAAAAATACAAAAATTAGCTGGGCATGGTGGTGCACGCCTGTAGTCCCAGCTGCTCGAGAGGCTGAGGCAGGAGAGTTGGTTGGGCCTGGCAGGCGGAGGTTGCAGTGAGCCGAGATCGCACCACTGCACTCCAGCTTGGTTGGTGGCATGGGACTCCATCTCAAAAAAGAAAAAACAAAATTATGCCTCATTCATTATCCAACTTTGTCACTGAGAGAGAAGGACATGGATTCAGAGATGAACTTGTCCAGGCGACCCCAGGGTTCTTTCCCCCTCCATTACTCTTTTTTTTTCTTTTTTTTCTTGAGACGGAGTCTGGCTCTGTCACCTAGGCTGGAGTGCAGTGTCACGATCTTGGCTCACTGCAACCTCTGCCTCCTAGGTTCAAGCTATTCTCCTAACTCAGCCTCCCTAGTGGCTGGGATTACAGGTGCATGCCACCCCGCCCAGCTGATTTTTGTATTTTTAGTAGAGATGAGGTTTTACCTTGTTAGCCAGGCTGGTCTCGAACTCCTGACCTCAAGCGATCTGCCTGCCTTGGCCTTCCAAAGTGCTGGGATTACAGGTGTGAGCCACTGCGTCCAGTCCCCTCCATTACTCCTTAAGTGTCCCTTAAAGACTATATTTATTTATTTATTTGAAACAGAGTCTCGCTCTGTCGCCTAGGCTGCTGTGCAGTGGCATGATCTCGGCTCACTGCAGCCTTCTGCCTCAGCCCCCTTAGTACCTGAGACTACAGGCGTGTGCCACCACACCTGGCTAATGTTTGTCTTTTTGGTAGAGATGGGGTTTCACCATGTTGGCCAGGCTGGTCTCGAACTCCTGACCTCAAGTGATCTGCCCACTTCAGCCTCCCTAAGTGTTGGGATTACAGGCGTGAGCCACTGCGCCCAGCAAGGACTGCATTTAAAATACTATCTTTCTGTTAGGTACTTGTCATTTGCCAAAATTAAATAAAAACAATCTAGGGACCTAGGAACCTGTGAAGTCCAGTACTAAAATCTATACCAATTTACTCTAGCAACCCCCATCCTCCTCCTCGTTCGCTGAGTGTTGAATAAAGCCAGGCACTTTACCTATAGCCTCATTATATTAAAAACAACCCTGCATAGGGAGTCAGGATCTCAATTTTGCGGATGAAAAGGAGGCTCTTCTGGGCAGGCCCAGCAAGGTCTGGGGAACGCCCCTTAATCGAGGACTTGAATTTGTCTGCAGGGAGAGGTGGCATCACCGCACTGTAAACAGTTCCAAGGTCAAGTTTGGCTAGTGGCTTTTAGAATTGTGGCAGAAGGATGCCATCCTACTCCCACCTCAGAGGCATCTCAGGTTCTGGAGCTCTGTGCTAAGCCCACCTGTGGAGGGTGGCACTGGAGTGGTGACAGGTGTGCAAGGTTTCACATCTTCAAGGAAAAAACAGCTCCAAGGACAGAGTTGTTTTTTGGTTTTGTTTTGTTTTTTTTGAGATGGAGTCTCCCTCTGTTGTCAGGCTGGAGTGCAGTGGCGTGATCATGGCTCACTGCATCCTCTAACTCCCGGGCTCAAGCGATCCTCCCACCTCAGCGTCCGGAATAGCTGGAACCACAAAAACTTTTTGTAAAGATGGGGTCTCACTGTGTTGCCCAGGGTCAAGGTCAGATTTGTTAATACTTGTGACATTGTCTCCTGTTGGAGTTCTGGGTGTTCAATAGTTCATCACCATGTGTGTGATTCACACACTGTACTCAGAAACATTCTTTTTGTTTATTTTTGGGTTTTTTTGCGACAGAGTTTCCTTCTTGTTGCCCAGGCTGGAGTGCAATGGCACACACAATCCCTGCTCACTGCAACCTCCACCTCCCAGGTTCAAGCAATTCTCCTGTCTCAGCCTCCCAAGTAGCTAGGATTACAGGTGTGTACCACCACTCCCAGCTAATTTTTGTATTATTATAGAGACGGGGTTTCACCATGTTGGCCAGGTTGATCTCAAACCCTGGACCTCAGGTGATCTACCTGCCTCAGCCTCCCAAAGTGCTGGGATTACAGGCATGAGCTACCGTACTCAGCCAGAAGCATTCTTTTTATTCATTTTTATTATAATGATAATAAGGGCCCTAGTAGGGGATTTTAACTGTTTCTTTCCACAGTGTAGAATGATGTCTATATACATTACAGAATGGAGTAATCTTTTTTTTTTTTTTTTTGAGACAGAGTCTCACCCTGTGGCTCAGGCTGGAGTACAATCATGTGATCTCAGCTCACTGCAACCTCCACCTCCCGGGCTAAAGCAATTCTCCCACCTCAGCCTCCCAAGTAGCTGGGATTACAGGCACCTGCCACTGTGCCGGCTATTTTTTGTATTTTTAGTAGAGATGGGGTTTCACCATGTTGCAGGCTGGTCTCGAACTCCTGACCTCAAGCAATGCACCCACCTCGGCCCCCCAAAGTGCTGGGTTTACAGGTGTGAGCCACTGCGCCCAGCCTAGAATGGAGTAATCTGATGCTGTCTTACAGATGAGCACTTCACATTTGCAAGGGTGCGCGCGCGCGTGTGTGTGTGTGTGTGTGTGTGTGTGTGTTTTAACTCATCTTTCCATTCTCTTCCCCACCCCTCCTTTCCCATCTGCTACCCTCAGGCTGCAGTTCGATTTCACAGATAGAAAAATAAATAAAGCCTATGGCTGGGCGTGGTGGTTCATGCCTATAATCCCAGCACTTTGGGAGGCTGAGGTGGGCCGATCATTTGAGGTCAGGAGTTCGAGACCAGCCTGACCAACATGGTGAAACCCCGTCTCTACCAAAAATACAAATAAATTAGCCGGGCATGGTGGCCTGCCCCAGTAATCCCAGCTACTTGGGAGGCTGAGGCAGGAGAATCGCTTGAACCCAGGAAGCGGAGGTTGCAGTGAGCCCAGATCACACCACCGCACTCCAGCCATGGTGACAGAGCGAGACTCGGTCTCAAAACAAAAAATAATAATAATTAAAAAATCAGCTGGGTGTGGTGGCGGGCGCCTGTAATCCCAGCTACTCAGGAGGTTGAGGCAGGCGAATCACTTGAACCTGCGAGGTGGAGGTTGCAGTGAGTGGAGATTGCGCCACTACACTCCAGCCTGGGCTACAGTGCGAGATGACTCCTCGAATGAATAAATAAATAAATAAATAAAACCTACATTCTTTACCTTGCCCCACTATAATTTGCACTGACAGGAGGGCAGCTCCGTGCTAGGTACAATCCAGGTGCTGCTCTGCTTTGATGCTGCCCAGGACACTGGCCTAAAAGCGTGTTTGCAAGCTCTCTCTTCATTCATTCAAGCTCTGCCTAGTACACACTTTTTGGAAACCATTTCCCAAAATGTGTGCTCTTATACCACATTTCCCACCCAACAGATAACCGAGACAGTGCAAGTAACATAGTTTGAATTAAAGAATAAACTTGCGTTGGCCGGGCACAGTGGTTCACGCCTGTAATCCCAGCACTTTGGGAGGCCGAGGCGGGCGGATCATGAGGTCAGGAGATCGAGGCCATCCTGGCTAACACAGTGAAACCCCGTCTCTACTAAAAATACAAAAAATTAGCCGGGCGTGGTGGCGGGCGCCTGTAGTCCCAGCTACTCTCTCAGCTACTAAGGGAGGCTGAGGCAGGGGAATGGTATGAACCTGGGAGGCGGAGCTTGCAGTGAGCCGAGATCATGCCACTGCACTCCAGCCTGGGAGACAGGACGAGACTCCGTCCAAAAAAAAAAAAAGAAGAAACCTGTGTTGGTAGACACGTAAGTTCATGAACTGCAGATACAAATAGATCGAGCAGCAGATATGTTTATTATCTCAAACAAGCACGGCACTGCTTCCTGGTGTGGATTATATTCCAGTTTTCAAAAGGAACCATAGCAAGTACAAGCAATACGATTTTATTTTGGAGGGATTTCTACCATCATAGGCCAAAGATGTTACTAAGTATCAACTCTGAAAAAGCAACTATAAATACTGCAAATCGACTAAGCCAGAGGACGGGAATATATATCCTGCGTGTGGTGTGCTGGACTGTGGTGGGGACTTCATGCTTGTGCTCTGGGCTCATGGGGGCAGCTGACTGCTCATAATTAAGGTTGCTGTTGCGGCTGCCCGTGTTCCAGAGAGAACACAAGACGACAGAGCTAAGGTGCAGGAATGCGGAAAAACTTGCAGAAACTAGAGCCAGTCTTCGGATTGAAATGAATTACCAATAAAGGGTTGGGAAATGGATCGAGGGGAGGGAAGCATTTTGATGGCCCCTGCTCCGAGGTTCAGCCCATTTGCAGTTGCTGATAACCTTGTCAGGTCACCAGATAAAGGCAAGTCTTGTCACCCTCAGGCACCTGGCAGCAAGGTAATAAAACGGTTGCCTTATCATCTGAAGGTGGAGTTAGTCAAACCTCAGCCCAGGGTAATTATAGTAAACTGAAATTGCCTGTCCTTTACAAAAGAAAAGGGGGGGAGGGAGAGAGAAAGGAAAAGGGCTTAAGGCAGGAAATTGTGTTTGTCTTTCTCCTTGGATTTAAAAAAGAAACGAGCAAAACAGCAAGAAGTTTTCCAGGGAGGGAGAAAAACAGCCCAGCTAAACTCCCCTCACCGGGGTTAACAGGATTGCTGACAGATCAAGCCCACGTGATGGTCAAGAAAAGAGGCTCAAGCTGATGAAAATCCAAGAAATCTTCTTAGGAGCCTTCCTTTCTAAATGTAAATGACTGAGTCATTGCTTTGCTAAGGAGGGAAGGAAGTTACAATCACACCAAGTGACTCATTCATTGCTGTTAGCTCTGGCAGTTGGATAAAAAGTTTTAGCAAAAGCAGCAACAAATGTACTTGAAATACTAGCACAGTAAGGGAATTCCTCTCTTTCAGGATGAATGCCATCCACACAAAAGAGCTCCTGTTGACATCTCATTTACAATCTCCCCCAGGACACAGACAAGACCCTTTCAATAAACTCGGCTCAGAAACACCTATTGTTCAAAATCTTCAACTCGCCACAGGCTACCACCACTCCCTACGGCTTTGCAAAATTAAAGATTTAGAAGAAGGATGGGGACGGTGGAAGCTATGAAAAGAGGCAGGAAAAAAGCCCCTTTGACCCGATGCTGTCAGAGAGCGTGCATGAAGAAGAAAGTTAATGGTATTTCCATTTATATAAGAAGTGCCTAAGAAATGCCTGTGACGTTCGTGAACTAGTGATTGTGAATTCCAAATTTGATGCCAACTTTATGTGTAAAGAAGCTAACTCCTGCCAACATTGTGGCTGAATGAACAGCCGGGGCTATGCTTAACCCATTCCCAGCTTACAAAAGCCCCATAGCAGCTGCAGGAAAGCATCAGGTGAGTCTGATACGGGCTGTCTGTTTCCTCTGGGATTTGAAGCTTGCCTGTCCTGTCCAAGTGGAATCTTGTGCCTAAGTGCTAGAGTCCACCCCTCTCCACTGATTCCCTTCTTTCCATTTCTGCCATTTCCCTTCTTCTTTTAATAAAACTTGGGCATTTTCTAGAGTTACATGTTTTTCTTGGGATGTACTTCACATTAAGGAGCATATTTGTGTTTACAGAAACACACACACACACACACACACACACACACAAAAGAATCGGGCATTTCCCAAGTGGTGATATCTTTACCTTCCTCATCTTTCACTTAAGGTGCCCTATCTCAGTACACGATCCCTTTGTCTGCCCCGAGTTCAGGCCAAAACTCGGCATTATCTGTAAGCACTCTTGGGTCCTCTCTGATCTCTTAAATCCCTCTGGAATCATTCCACATCCTTCTGTGCATCTTTCTGCTTCCCTAGATCCTATAGTTTGAAATGTTCTCTTCTGGAGTATCACAGCAACTTCCTTAACCCAAGGTTTCTCCAACTCTGAGTTGTGACTTAATGGGTAGTGAAATCAGATGAGTCATGCAGTTTCACCATTTAGAAAATGCAAAAGGTTAGGTAGAAAATGTCAGCGTACATCCTGTGTAGAAAAATTAAGTCTTGTTGGGAAACTTCTTTCAGTTTGTGTGTGCGTGTCCCCGGATCTGTGTACGTACTGGGCAACAGGGAAAATGCATTTTGTAGGTCAAAATATTTGGAGAAATACTTTTCTACTTAGTCTCACTGGGTCTGTCTTTTCTCTGTTTCCAAACTATTGCGTACACTTAGAGGAAGAGCAGAAACCCTCCAGCAGGTCCTGTCAGTCTGCAGTTTACAAATCTGCCCTCAGGATAAGAGTTCCTGCTCACCGTTCAGGTCTCAGAATTCTCCATCCTCCTGACCACTTTGCCTTCAGTTATTCAACCCATCAGTTTCCCTGGGTTTGCATGTGCAATCGATTCCTCGTTAGGGATATTCTTTCCTCTGGTTTTTCCTTCAGATCTGAGCTTACGTTTGGCCTCTTCCAGGAAGACGCCAGGAATGTCCTTCTGAATGCCCTTCCTCGTTCTCATGAGAACACTGCCGTTTTTAATCAGGCAGAGCACTTATTACATTATGATTATCTTCTTGGTTCCCAACCGAACTATCAAGCTCCAAGTGGGCAGTCAGTAAATATTTCTTGGTGCATCAAATGCTCCACATTTTACACAGTTCACGTTTGCTTCCTACGAACCAATTTGGATAGTTATAAAGTATCTTATCTCTAGTTTCCTTTAACACTTAAATATCTCTTGCACATTTTCTTTTCAAACACTGCTTCGTTAATTTGCAAATTCATTGAACTCCTATTATTTTGAAAAATCAAAATAATAAAACTTCAAGAAAGCTGTTTGGCTTCTGGCCAGTTAGTCACCCTCTCTGAATGACAGATCTGTAAACAGGAAGGGCAGAACTCTGATCTCTAAAATCCTCTCCAGTCCACTATGACCCTCTAACTTGAACTTTCTCCAGAGAGGTTAAGTGACTTTTCCAAGGTCGTGCAGCTTTTTAGCAGCAGGAGATTTTTTGCCTGTCTATAGATTTTTAAAAGCTAGCAGCAAACAAAAACCAAAAAGTTTACCAAGGAAACTGAGTGCCACTAACAAGTTTGTGTGAAAGAGAATTCATAAAGAAACAGGAGACTTTGAACAAAACACTAAAATCAACAACAACCAAAATGGATTCCTGCCTAGGCAGGTCTGGACTTTAAAAAAAATGGTCTCACTGTGGTTTGCTATTAGATGGAGAGATATTCAGATTTCATTTTTAAAATGAAAGTGAAAGATTAAAGAATTTTGGCATCCTGACCCTTTGTAGAGGCCATTCCTCAGAGGCACAGTGTGCAGACAAAACTATCCTAGAGGTGCCAACCAAAACAAGCTAATGTCTGCCTCATTCCTGAGCCCTGGTGCCTTGACCAGTAACCACGCTCAGGAAGAAAGCTGCAACTTGCCAGGATGAAATTTGGCCCCAGTTCTTACAACCCTTCCCCCCTTCCTTCCCCTGCCAGAATCACACTGAAGAATTCGCTGCTCTCAAAGGCAGACTTTTTCATTACTTCCTTACATTATAGAGTTTGGGCTTAGATAACCAGTTGTATGAGTAGCAAGTCCAACAGAAATACAACAGCAATAATACTTATTTCCTTCCCTAATGTAATATGTTATACTTCATAAGCCACCATATGCATTTGTTGCTTTTCCCCCTTCTACACTGACCAGCAGTTTTGCTTTGTTTGACAGAAAAGTATGGTAAGAAGAAATTGAATTTGAAGTGCTTTCTTACAAAGGAAAAAGAAAATCACTATTATAACTGTATACCAAACTACTACGTATGTGAGGCCCCAACTTTGACTTCACATCGTTATAGCCAGGTGATGGGATATGGGTGATTTTTACTTTACTCTTTGGGCTTCTCTGAATTTTCCTATTTTTTGAAAAAGAATTACTTTTGTAATTATAAAAAAGTACAAATAAGAATTACATACATGGTTATTTCTTCACTGCTATGACATGACTAGATTATAACTTTTTTTTTTTTTTGAGACAGACTTTGGGAGTTTCACACTCGTTGCCCAGGCTGGAGTGCAGTGGCACGACCTCAGCTCACTGCAGCCTCCACCTCCCGGGTTCAAGTGATTCTCCTGCCTCAGCCACCCTAGCAGCTGGGATTACAGGCGCCTGCCCCCACACTCGGCTCATTTTCTTTTGTAATTTTAGTAGAGAAGGGGTTTCGCCATGCTGGCAAGGCTGGTCTTGAACTCCTGACCTCAGGTGATTGATCCACCCGCCTCGGCCTCCCGAAGTGCTGGGATTACAGGCATGAGCCACCGCGCCCAGCCTAGATTATGAAATTTTAGTGTTACTATATATGTTGCTGTGTAATTTTTGTTTTGAACCTTTTTTATTTTTCTTTTATTTCCTTTGAGACAGGATCTTGTTCTGTTACCCAGGCTCATTGCAACAAGGTGATTTTCCCGCCTCAGCCTCCAGAGTAGCTGGATTACAGGCCTGTGCCACCACACCCAGGTAATATTTTATATTTTTTGTAGAAATGGGGTTTTGCTATGTTGCCCAGGCTGGTCTTGAACTCCTGGGCTCAAGCAATCCACCCTCCTCAGCCTCCCAAAGTACTGGGATTACAGGCATAAGCTACTGCACCCAGCCTTGAGCATTTGTTTTTTGAAGGAAATTTTATGTGATTATTACGTAAAAAAGGAATACTAAAAATCTCCTAACATTGATATCTCTCTGTCTTTAAATTTTAAAAGCTTAAGGAACATGGACCCATACAGTGCAGCCAAATATTAGCCGGTAACTTCTTTATTTTTTTTTGAGATGGAGTCTTGCTCTGTCGCCCAGGCTGGAGTGCAGTGGCGTGATCCTTGGCTCACTGCAAGCTCCGCCTCCTGGGTTCAAGTGATTCTCCTGCCTCAGCCTCCCGAGTAGCTGGGACTATAGGCGCCTGCCACAACACCCGGCTAATGGTTGTTTTTTTTTTTGTATTTTTAGTAGAGACGGGATTTCACTGTGTTAGCCAGGATGGTGTCGATCTCCTGACCTCATGATCCTCCCGCCTCGGCCTCCCAAAGTGCTGGGATTACAGGTGTGAGCCACCGCACCCGGCCAGCCGGTAACTTCTTTACAAATGGGCTGCAGCATATTTTATTACCTTCTCCTGACAATTTCTTATTTGACTATTTATCATTTCCAGAACATACTAGCCTTTTGCATGCCTTTACGCCCGTGGCAAACATTGTTGTTTGCCTCCTCATAACCATTCTCCCTGTCCTGCTTGCTAATGAGACCCCAGTGCTGTTGATCTTTCCACAGCTGTGAGTTTTAGAGGTGGCAAAGCCCCTACCTAGACATGGAGGCTGAATCTTCACCAGTCTACAAGACAAAGAGATGAGAAGGGAGGTCAGATGGGAATGTTCTGGGAAAGTTTACCTCACTATTTAAAGCCACTCAAGTCAGGGACATCCCTTTTATTCCTCTGGACTTTGTCATCTGCAAGGGATGCTGGAACTGTGGCTGCCATAGGGAGACCACAGAAAGTACTGGCCTAAGAAGATGAGTTCAGTCGGGCGTGGTGGCTCGCACCTGTAATCCCAGCACTTTGGGAGACTGAGGTGGGCAGATCACCTGAGGTCGGGAGTTCAAGACCAGTCTGACCAACATGGAGAAACTCCATCTCTACTAAAAATGCAAAATTAGCCGGGTGTGGTGGTGCATTCCTGTAATCCCAGCTACTGGGGATGCTGAGGCAGGAGAATTGCTTGAACCCAGGAGGGGGAGGTTACAGCGAGTGGAGATTGCGCCATTGCACTCCAGCCTGGGCAATGAGAGTGAAACTCCATCTCACCAAAAAAAAAAAAAAAAAAAAAAAAAGGATGAGCTCACACTGGGGATGACAGGTGGAAGAAAGACCAGCTGTCATGAACTTACTGGTTTTGGTAAATTCATTGCCTGCCCTACCTTGGGACTTGGTATTGTTTGAGAAAACAAATTATTTTGCCATCTTGGTCACTTCAATTTTATTTTTAAAATTGTGTTTGCTTTTTGATTTGATTGGCTTGGCACTTATGCAGTGACTTTGTAGATGCTGTCTATGTGTTGGGGCTCAGAACATGATGCCCTAAAATATGGTGACTTGGCAATTGAGAAAACCAAAGGAGCAAGAAGGTCACTCAGTGTGAGATCTGGCCACAACGGAATGCTCTGACCTACCTTTGCCTGAAAGTTGGTCATAAGATGCTCATTCCAGAAGGGTCCTACTCTATACCCAGAGGCAAAGAAGAATCGGAACAGACAGCTCCTGCCCTAACTGGTCCCCAGTTGTTTGTTACCATTAGATAATAAATTTATTCTATTTCAAATCGGAAATACTCTAAAGTCTGAAACTTTGTTTTTTTGAGACAGAGTCTCGCTCCGTCACCCAGGCTGGAGTGTAGTGCACGATCTCAGCTCACTGCAACCTCCATCTCCCGGGTTCAATCATCCTCCTGCCTCAGCCTCTCCTGCCTCAGCCTCCCGAGTCGCTGGGAGTACAGGCGTGCGCCACCACGCCCGGCTAATTTTTAGTAGAGACAGGGTTTCACCATGTTGGCCATACTGGTGTCGAATGCCTGACCTCAAGTGGTCTGCCTGCCTCAGCCTCCCAAAGTGCTGGGATTATAGGCGTGAGCCGCTGCACCTGACCTAATCTGTAATACTCTCCCCTGCAGTGTCCTCAGCCTCCCAAGTAGCTGGGACTGCAGGCGTGCACCACCACAACCAGCTAATTTTTAAACATTTTTTTGGTAGAGATTTGGTCTCACTATGTTGCCCAGGCTAGTCTCGAATTCCTGCGCTCAGGTGATTCTCCCACCTTGTTCTCCCAAAGTACTAGGATTCGAGGTGTCATCCACCTCCCTCCCTCAAAAAAATGAAAAACGATGGTATGAAAGTATTAACTGCATGGTCTTTTTTTTTTTTTTTTGGATTTTTCATATGTATTTTTTTCCTATGGCAGAAGAGTTTTCATAATTTGTATGACTCATGCACATGTGTGCACATTAGTGAAATTTGTATGCCAGCCAGGTGTGGCATAAGCCTGTAGTCTCAGTTACTCAGAGGCTGAGGCGGGAGCATTGCTTGAGTCCAGGAGGTCGAAGCTGCTGTGAGCTATGATCACACCACTGCACTCTACCCTGGGCGATAGAGCAAGACCCTGTCTTAAAAAAAAACAGTGTATGCTTTTTTTTTTTTCTTGTTAATTTGCTATCTGTTTGTTTTATAGACTCAAATTATCAAGGCTTCAGGGGAAAAATGTGAACTTCCCTACAGCTCCCTTGATCACCCAGCTTAGAGCAGCCTCACACCCTCCCATCCCAGGCCTCCAGCCCCCTAACTGATTTGAGATGCCTGGAGAAAATAAAATTGCTGCTCCATCTTTTGTAAACTAAAAGTGCTGGGGTAGGGGTGGTGCAAAGTTGTGGCTTGCTCATTCAACCCAGTCCTGACCAGCTCTACCACTGCACCCCCCCCCAGCCCTCCACAGCCTTCCAACGGCAGCTGTCTCCAGATTCCCTACATTCTAGTTAGCAGCCTTCACTCTCCCCGTGACCAAGTCCCCACGACGTCTTTCCAAAGCCCCTGCTTGTCATTTCTGTTAACATGCCCCTGCCTCCCACCTCGAAATTACATAGCAGGACCGGCTCCAGCCTTTGCTTCCTTGCACCTTGGAAAATGGCGGAAGGTAAATTACCCCGAGTTTCTCAGGGCTTGTAGGGTGGACCCCTGCCAGTGGTTTCAAACTTTTTCCATACCTTCTCTATCACCCTTCAGTTCAGAAAAGACAAAAAGGAAACCCCAAAGAAAATCAAAACAAAAAAACTTACAAGTCTGTTTCCCTTTGTCTCCATAGTCAGCACTAATGATTTCCAGCTGGGGTGGGGAGCAGGGTGTGGATGGGACCAAGTCCTGTTGCTAAGTTCAAATACTTGAGAATTTAACATCCCAGACCCTCTCCAAGCTCTGCCGCAGGACCCTCAACTATATTTCCCTAGCTTACCATGGTAACAAGCCAGAGGACTAGCCCTAAGTGTATCCACTTACATTACTAAAGCTCTATCAAGTGAATAAATAATTCCCTCTGCTTTTCATGCCTGAAAGGCGATATTGTATGATGTTTAAGAATATAGCACAGTTCTGTCACCCCAGCTGCTTGGAAGGCTGAGGTGGGATGATTGATTTAGCCCAGGAGTTTGAGTCCAGCCTGGGCAACATAGCAAGATCCCATCTCAAAATATTAAAAAGTAATGTAAGTTTTGGAGGCAGACCTTGATTTAAAAGTGTGTTACCTAGGGAAGGTTGCTGAAGCTCTATAAACATCTGGTTTTTATTGTCTAAAATGAGGATAAGAATGAAAAACTTCCTTATAGGTTGCTGAGAGGCTGAAAGGAAGTAATATATGGGAAATGCTCAGTGTGTTAACTCAGGAAATGGCATACAGTAACAACAGCATCAACAGTTCCATAAGGGGAATTCCTTCATTTTGTCCAGGGGGACCCGTGGTCCTTGTGAAAGGTGTGAGAACATCTGAAGCTAACTTCTACACCAACGTGGTCAGATGATGCCATCCCGTATCCATGGCGACCAATATCTCCATTGTCTAGTTTAGTGCCAGGCGGGTGGTGTGCAATGAAACAACGCAATCACAGGCTGCAACTCTGGGGTTCAGTTCATTCGTTAGTGGAACTCCTGTAACACTCAAAATTCTGACTTCATAGGACCTTTGAATTTCAGTTTCAATCATAAAAGAAGTTCTGAAACATTGACCAGTCATCTCATACACGTTTTTTTTTAGTTATTCCCAGATGGTTGCTGATGT